CGGCACTTGTTTCTGGGCGTGTGTCAGTCTCTCTCACTTTTTTCGCGTGTTTCTTTGGCACAAGCAGCTCCTGTTGCTGAGTTGACCCAGTATTTGAGGAATCAGAGAGCGCGTTCACTTACAACCCGCAAAGACACGTGACATGTCTAAGCAGCATCTATAGTTTGCTTATTCTTTCTCAAGAAATCATGCATGTGCATTGTTTTTCTCTGATTCGATCATAAATTAGCGCATTACATACTGTTTCACGATGATACCGGCTTAAGCACCATCATTACAACTAGGGCTGCACGATTATGACAAAAATCATAATTGTCGATTATTGCCTTGAAATTATTAATTACAATTATCACAATTTACATTGAATGATGTTTTGAACAGCTTTATGCCATTGTTCGAAGTGACTGCATGCAAATTGTTATATCAAAATAAAACGGCTGAAAACTCCTGAAAAACTTTCAATGCTTTTCTATGGTTTAAAGTAACACCAAGTAAGTTTTCCTCTTCGGTCGCCCTACTGGTTGAAAACGAAATTGTCCATTGCCACTGTCGTAAATAATTTAGCCTACCGTCGCACGCACACTCGCTGTTTATCCAGCACCGGCTTTAGAATGAACGATGTCAACAGACAAGGTAGAGTATGTTACATGATTTCATGAAAGGATGATGTATTGCGACATCAAGTCAAGTCAAGTCACATTTATTTATATAGCGCTTTTCACAATACAGATTGTATCAAAGCAGCTTCACAGTGATAACATGAAAGTAGCACAACACAGATCAACAACATTGCTAACCACTAAATGACCCCAACTGAGCAAGCTCAAAGCAAGCCAAAAGCAAGGCGACAGTGGCAATCAGAAACGAAGAAAAACGAAATAATGACTATTGTAGTGCTTGATGTAAAGCAGTCGAATTTTGTAGTTCTTTTTGAGGTCGGGTTCCTACCCGAACCCCGAAGTTACATAGTGCCAGTAAAAGTAGTACAGACCCCGTCAGGCGACGGCAGGAGTGCCTTTCACCCTGTTACGACTTGATGAACCACTGATAAGATTTTGGAAACATTATTTTAAGTAAACAATGTTAGATAGTGTTGCTTTAATGCTAATTATGTTACACTAACTAAAACAATGGGGAAAAAACCCTTAATATAAGCTGTAAAAAAACACATTTTAAGCACGCAGAATAATGTAAGTGGACTTTTTATAATTGTGCCTTTGAACGATTAAATAATTGTGGCATCCATAATTGTAATCGCAATTACAAATTCGATTAATTGTGCAGCCCTAATTACAACACGGCATTGATTACGGCTTTTGTTCACATCGCGTGTTCCGGGACTGAACACGGCAATGTTACTCTGTCCCCAACCTGGCGGCACCAATCCCGGGTTGTGTTTGCGTTCACACAGAAGGTGTTTGTTCTGGCAATTTCCCGGGATTAACGCGCTGTGTAAAATGTTGCTTGGTCAAGGCGGAGTTACGTGACTACACACGCGGTAATTATGTTTTAAGGGGAAAGTACAATAACACACAGTGGGCGGAAATGTTGATAGGATTCAAAAACCGAAATAACCGACATGGCAAAATCACGTCGGTTATAGGCTCTGAATTTCGGTTTCGATTATTTTTCGATAATATCGTCCAGCCCTAATTCAGAAGTTTCCGTGCAATCTTTTAAAAAAGTATACTTTTATTTAGCAACGGCATTTTACATTTACAATCAATGTTACAAAGGTCAAAAACAATCTTTTTTTTTTTTTTTTTTACTTTAATTAATTAAACTTTTTTTTTTTTATCAGTTTCCACAGAAATATCAAGTAGTACACCTGTCTTCAACAGTAATGTTTCTCGGGCATCAAATCATCATATAAGAATGATTTCTGCCATCACAGGATTAAATTACATTTTAAAATGTATTCTAATAGGGAACAATTTTTTCAAGATTTTGTAATATATATATATATATATATATATATATATTGATCAAATAAATGCAGTAGTGGTAAACAATAGACTAAAAAAATCCCCAAACGTTTAAACGCTGCACAGCTGAAGTCCACAATAACACAGATACTCTCTGCTGTGTTCAGATTCAGTGCCTGAATGCATTTGTGCTGATTGATGTATGCAGGATTAATAAATCTTAGCTGGACCGTACAGCTGTACTCTTACATACTTAACTCTGAATGTCACTGTGGAGACGAGTAAGAAATGAATTCAGCTTGGATTTGTTTATAAGCTGGTCTGTACCTCCTCATACTGTGGCCTAGACACTTTGAGCTTCTGGTTTCATCTCCATACATTGAAACTGCAGAAAGGTCATGTTTAACACTGAGCTGATTGGAAAGAGGCAAGCGTTTTCACATGGCTATTTTAACAGCTCAGCGGGTTTAGCATCCTTAGCTGTCGTCGATGTGTTTAATATCTGCAGAATGCTTTGAACATCACTGTAAAGCTCTTTCTCGTCTTGTGCTATTCGGAGATGAAGA